TGTTTCCTCTTGCTGCTGCTGCTGTATGTTGGTTCAAGGCACAAATGCTTGAAAATGAATTAGTATTAGGTGACTTCTGAAAACCTCACCTCCAGTTTTGATCCAGATTACGCTTCCATGAGATCACCATTCATGGTACTTGGCGTGATAAGCAGAAGTTTTCTTGGTCTTCAGGAGTCCTGGCTAGTGTCCCCAAGGTACCTCTCAGCTGGGGTGAGTAGACCCAAGGTCCCTTGTAATCTGCGGGTGGATGGAACTAAATTCTGCAACTGGGTTTCTGATGCTTCAGGCTGCAAATTCTGCAGCAGCTTCATTTAGATAAAGGTTTTTTTAATTGATCATATATGAAAAGGAACAATATGTTCTGTATAGTGGTCTCTTCTATCTTTAGGTGAAATTTAGTCTATATGGCATTGTCCCAGCACTTTCAGTTGTTGATATGACACATATTGATGTTGTTGTAGGAGCTACTGGAGGTTTTGGCCACTGGGGGAAAGGAAGTTGAGACTTTTGGCACTCTGGCGGGTATCAAGGCAGTCTAGGACAGTGGAATAAGCACACTAGCTGGATGCTCATACTAACGGATGGCAGGCCTAGACATGGGGGAAAGTCAATCTAAGCTATACCATTTGAGTTACGTTAGTAGCGCAACTCAAGTCGATGTAGCTTAGATCTGTTTACCGCGGGGTCCACATGCTATGTCAACGGGAGACGCTTTCCCGTCGATTCCCCTTATTATTCTCATTCCGGTGGAATACCGGAGTAGACAGGAGAGCTATCTGCATTCGATTTAGCGGGTCTTCACTAGACCCGCTAAATCGACCCCCGGTGGATTGATTGCCACAGCCTCGATCCACCCATAAGTGGAGAAAAGCCCATAGTCATATGTGAATTAATCTTCACAGTTACCACTGAATGAATGCATTGCTACAAATAGGGCCATTTACCCCTCTTGGAGCCATTGTTTCAGGCTGCCCACAGGTTCAGGAAGACAATGCTATGTCTGTTTACATCCAGTCAGCCTTGAAAACTCTCTCTGTAACCACAGACTAGAAAGTCTTTCCATCTTTTCATTTAACATATAGATTGTGGAGCACAACTGCTCAGCAAGGGGTAGATTCTGTGCCAAATTCTGCAGCAGCAGAATACCTGGAACCCTTTCCTCACAAAGTTAATACAAGATGCAGTGTGCCAGAGTAGGATTAATCTCCATATGCTCTTCTGCCAGGGCATGCTTATGGGCTCCTGGAAGAGCTTCCCAGGCCTGAGAGATGCCTTCTTTGCAGAGCGTTCAGTTATCACTGATATAGTTGTTCTGTGTTTTGGGTTTGCAATAGCACAGCTGCAGTGACTGTGCTGACACACATGGGCCAACTGACAATTATCTGATTTTTAAGGATACTTCTATTTCCTGCTCAAAGATGCACATGCCTCTGAATTTCCTCCATGGTGACTTTCAAGAGCCTGTCTTCCTGTGGGATGGAGAGATAAGTGCTCATAAGATTACACTGTAAATCCCTCGCAGGTCCTATGTGCATGTAGGAATGTAGCAAAGCTGTTATTTGAAGGGGCGGGCTGGTTAGCTTGTGGTTCCTGTCTGGGGTGCTCAAATTGTCTTGGTCTGAAGGTATTGGGTGCTGTTCTGAACTGTCAGTATAACTGCAGCTAAGCATGTCAATAGTTTTATAGCATGTACAAAAAAAAAAGGCACTGGCAAACTTATAAACAAGCAGCATTTACCCTCCACTCATCTGCGCCTTTCAAGTTCTTCCATCCTCTCCCTGCATTGTCAGCACAAACGTTTAGTTCTCTCTCAAATTGTGCGTGATCTTTGTTTCAGCTGCTTCTTGTGGTGACAGGCATTCAGTCAAAACAAAGACATCATAATATGAAATGGCGATGTCCATCCTGCGCAGGGCCGGCTCCAGGCACCAGCTTGTCAAGCAGGTGCTTGGGCCGGCCACTCCGGAGAGGGGCGGCACATCCAGGTATTCGGCGGCAATTCGGCGGACGGTCCCTCACTCTGCCTGGGAGCGAAGGACCTCCCGCCGAATTGCCACCGCAGATCGCGATCGCGGCTTTTTTGTTTGTTTGTTTGTTTGTTTTGGCTGCTTGAGGCAGCCAAAACCCTGGAGCCAGCCCTGATCCTGCAGCATGGAGGTCTACCTTCCGCATGACATCCTCCCTGCAATCTGTTATTTGTGAGCAGCTCTTCCTCCTTTAGCAACACTTGCCATGACAAAAGACCAAGGGAAAAACTTTAGGGATCTTCAGGCTAGTGACACAGAAATGTCTAAATACTAATTTCCTTTGACTTTCTTGGGCTCATAATGGAAACTATCTTAACCCTACAATGTGTAGTTGTGTTATGGCTCCACAATGAAGTCACAAGTCAGTTCAGTTTGAGATAACAATTAAGGTTGGTATGGGTGTAATTTTACTCAGTATGGCCAACCCTAAGCATTGAAAACCATCACTCTGGCCCCAAGATATCATGAGACTTTAAAAAAACAACATTCTAGCCTCTGTATTTGTCTGCTGGTTTCTGAGCCTTTGGCATGAATTTGTTTCATGCATTTGAGCTTTTCTCTGCAGCCGGGATGGCTAGAAACGTACTACTTTAAAAATGAAAGTTGATATACTTTTGTAACTACATGATTCTAGGAGCTGGGGCTATACCAAAACCAACAAATAGCCTGAGATTTGTGATTAAAATCCAGAGCACAGAAAGCACCGCTTTCCACCCCAGGGCGTTCACTCCCTCCTGTCCAGTAGAGGGGGTGATGGAGTAGCAGAATTGTATTTAAGGACAGGTTTCCGAGTAGCAGCCGTGGTAGTCTGTATCCGCAAAAAAACAGGAGTACTTGTGGCACCATAGAGACTAACAAAGCCAGAAAAGAGAGATTGGGAAGGATGAACCAAATGCCTAGAAACTGCCAAAGACTAACTGGAAAATCTTGCAGGAAATCTTTGGTTGTTTCAGCCTGTGAAATTAAACTTTAAAGCACCCTGAATTATATGTAATGGGATGGCCTGATAGTGAAGCTGCAACATGAGCTGCATCAAAGCAGACAAGAATTCAAACCCTATGAATTCTGTGGAAAGCATGTAGGTACCTATTGAAACGTTCCATTGTTATCTGTCATTGCTAAGTTTAGCTGCATTTAGTGACCTTCAGAGGTTGCTTCACGCACAAGCAGAACAGAAACATTGACATGGTACCTAGCTCAAGGAGAGATGTTTGTTTCTTCTCTGAGGGGCACATTTCAGTAATCTGATGATATATCTCCTGTCTCTACCCACTTCCACCAGTCATCCCTCCCCTTTGATAGTATTAAAATCCGACTCTCTTTGGATATAAGAGGAGAGTCCAGCACTAACTTCTAAAGCAATCTCCTTAGGAAGGGCTCTAGGGGTTGTTGATAAATTGTAGTGTCAGTTGCTTGACTGTAC